TTGGTATTGTTACATTTTTTATTCATGATGAATATAAATTTGACATGCTTGCATGAAAATGACAGTTGCAATGAGTTGGTTTTGAGAATAATAAGTGCTACTGAAATAAAATATGAAGCAATTTGTTTAAGGACGTGCATCACACAGTTTTTCTTACGAATGTGTATATCTGTTTTTCACATTTCGATATGAATTTATGTTGTTTTCGAATAGTTCAGATGGAAATTTTTGTTTCAATTCAGATAATTTCACACTTAACTGGAATTTGATCTATACTGTGGCATATAAATGCCGGAGTAGCTACCTAATTCGAGTTTGAATATAAATGAAACATTCGAAAAAAACGACACTCATGTTCAAATAACAAAAGAAAGAAAAAGATAAATTTTTATTTCAAAATAGAACACCCCTGTCGAAGCAGCAAAAAAAAACTAAAACAAATTTTATATAAATCATTAATTTATAAATGAGAAGGCACACGCCTGTTGGAGTAGCAAAAAAATCAAGGTTGAAATTTATAGAAATTATACAATTATAAGTCCAAAGACACAAGCCTCTCAAAGCAGAAAACTTAGAAGCTTTTAGCTAGATTTCAATTATAATTGAAATCGGAACTATTCTTAGCACTGTGTACACAAAAACGTGCATAGACCGTCACTCTTCTTGGGACGCTGCACACCCCCCACACCGCTACGCTAAAATAAAAAGTCACTTACACTGGTCAATGTGTTTTCTCAATGTATCATCACCTATTTGTGTTGTAGTATATCTGGTATTTACTGTAGCATCTAAGGTGATATTAGTAGTGATCCCCATTATAATCAGATTTAAATTACAATTCTCATCGTTTGCTTTTTTTTCTGCTTCCACAGGAATGTGCCTTCTCATGTATAAGTTTATAATTCAAATAAAATTTATCTTTTGCTTTTCTTTGTTGCTCTGACAGAGGATTCTATTTCGAGATAAAAATTAAACTTTTACTTTTTTTTCTGCTTCAACAGGGATGTGCCTTCTCATGTATAAATTTGGTTCTCCTGAAAAATGTCGAAACAAAAATGTCGAAATGTAAAGATGTCGAAAATATAAATATCGAAATACACAAATATCGAAAATAAAAATTTTGAAAATTTAAAGATCACACTATTTAAATGTTCAAAAAAAAATATCGAAAATAACATGTCGCGAAGAGAGGGGCCGAAAATGAAGAATAGGCAAGAAAGCAGGAGGGGTGTGCATGAAGCGTGAGTCCTGAGCGTCCAGTTGTGTGACGGAAGGTCATTCAGAATCACATTCTCACGCACCCACATCTATATCAGAACACTCCCACATACACCCATATTAACAGGAATATACGCACATGCATTCACCTATCTCCAGCGCCTCACACATACCATACACTCACACTCACACCCTCACCCTCAGCTTCACCCTCATCTACACCCTCACCCACACTCTCACCCTCATCTACACCCTCACCCTTATCTACATCCTCATCCTCATCTACACCTTCACCTTCAATTTCACTCTCACTTTCACCTTCACCCTCACCCTCACCCATATAAACATCCACATATCCACACCCACAACCCCATCCACATCAATATCTCACCTGATACTCACATCCTTTTCGACATGATTATTTTCGACATATTTATTTCGACATTTTTACTTTCGACCAATTTCAGGTTTACCATAAATTAACAATTCATATAAAATTTATCTTTCCTTTTCTTTGTTGCTTCGGCAGGAGATTCTATTTTGAGATAAAAACTTTTACTTTTACTTTTTTTTCTGCTTCAACAGTGATGTGCCTTCTCATGTATAAATAAAATTCATCTCTTGCTTTTCTTTGTTGCTCCGACAGGAGATTCTATTTTGAAATAAAAATTTAACTTTTACTTTTTTTTCTGCTTCAACAGGGATGTGCCTTCTCATGTATAAATTTATAATTAATATAAAATTTATCTTTTGCTTTTTTTTTGTTGCTCTGACAGGGGATTCTATTTTGAGATAAAAATTTAACTTTTTTTGGCTATTTGAACATGGATGCCGTTTTTTTCCAGTTATATTCGAAGTAATAAGAGGCAATTAGCTCTCCATTGATATTCGAACTCTATTAGGCAACTCATGAGATACGATCAGAGACATTTCGTTCATAAGATTCTTAATTGCATCGAAATATATGTCACTTGCACCAAAGTATAACGCCCATCTTCCTCATTCCAAACTGAACTTACTATCATTATATCAAAACATTGACGAGTTAACCAAGAATATATGGACGCGATCAACCGGCCTGATACTCCAACACTCATTTGTTTATGTAACTTCAACCACTTATCAGAAAAATAGGGCTTTTTTACCAATTGTACGCCATATATAGTGCTACTGATCTGTTACTATTTGAGATCTATATGCTACTAGAAATGAGAGTTGTTAAGTACGTCTTTATAATCATTGTGCTAAACGTACTTCACATCGTATTTGTTAACATACCATTTCCTACTAAGAAATTTGAAACAACATGAAAGAACAATAGCAGTGTTTCATTATCAAGTAGTCAATCAGAAAATACAACTTATCATTTTGTTTATCTACGAATAGGATGTTTATTTGAGGGGGTGTGGGTGTGGGTGGGTGTAGGTGTGGGCGTGGGTGTGTGAATGTGGGTGTTGGTCTTGCTTTCATTCATGCCCACGTTCCATTCTCACTCCTACACCCCACACCCACACCGTCCCACACACACTTACACCCCTGTATCAATCTTGTTCAAGAAAACTTTGAATAAGACGGAAATCATATGGCTTCAAATTCGATGATGTTCGATATTTCGTCCTTCACTACATATTTTCTTGAGAAAAGTGATTTTAACTAACGTCAATTTCAGAGGTAAATGGATGTGACCGTTTTTTGAATAGCTTTTGATCGACTAAAGCTATCGAGCTCGGGGTTACATAGTTGCAAAGAGCGGACTCCAATGCATCTTTCAGTATAATTCATTTGAGTCCACAGGTACTTTTTTACGACTGTTTACGCGTTGGTGTGTTGTTTTTATTTTTCTTTCCACGACTTTTTTGGCATTCTAATCCTGTTGTACCAAATTGTAGCCAGAATTCAGCTGTATATACGGTAAAATTACTATAGATGAAAGTGGCCTTGTTTAAGAAAAGAGATCAAAAGGCAATATGGAGATGCCAAAAATTTACCATGTATACAGCTGAATTCCGGCTATAATTTGGTAGAACGGGGATTAGAATGCCAAAAAAAAAGTCATGGGAAAAACATAAAAACAATATATCGCCGTACAAATAGTTGTAAAAAAGTTTCTGTGAACTCAAATAAGTAATACAGAAAGATGCATTGGACTCCACTCTTTGTAACTATGCAACCCCAAGCTCGATAGCCTTAGTCAATCACAAGTTATTCAAATAATGATCACGTCCATTTAACTCTGAAATGGATATTAGTCATGATACAAATTGAGCGGCAGTAAAACGCGTCGTGATAGCTCATACTTATTACTACAAATATAGTTACTATTATTCTTTCGAGAGTGACTTTGTAATTTTGATCTTGAATTGATTCATTTTATTTGAATCGACTTAAAGATCTTGCTACCTGATGATCTGTTTGAGCGGCAATAAAAGGTCTGTTCTATTCATACAAGAATGAATGAGACACATAATTACTTTGTTTTAACAAATTAAGTGAATAGAAGAATGATACATTGTTAGTTAAATGTGTCTGATGACATAGTGTATATATATCTTTGAATGAGATCGAACTTCTGTTAAACAGAAAGAATATTTAAAACAAAAAGTTGTATCATTTATTTTGGCTAGTAAGAGATATATACTAAACATTATTTTCTGGACGTATTTTTTTCGCCCTTACTCTACAAAACTTCATTAATGAATGGAAGCAACGGCAAATTTGATTTTCAAAAAGTACAGTCATAAAATCTCATATTTGATAATATGTTATTTCCGAAATATGAATAGAAGACTATAGTATAATAATGATACATTTATGATGTTGTATCAATGTTGAATCATAATAAATTTCATTGCTCAATAATACGATATAAATATGTGACGTTACAAAGAAAAAATATATTAATCAGTTATGGGCAAAGAATGTTTGTTTTCATTTGAGATTTTCGAAAAAAGAAAGAAATAAAATAGATAAATCGATCATGACTTATTCTATTAGTCAATTGAATATCATAATTGATTTTGACGTACTACATTTTGTTGCTCATTTATTCTATTTTAAGTTAATCGATACTGTATATCAATAACTATGAGAAATATCATGACTATGTGATAAATATAACCTTGAAAATGTCATAATTTTTATACATCCTTCTCTTTATAAATTACTTTTTTCTTTTCTTTAACAACAGTGAGTACATTATGATTCATAAACTGTATTGTAAGTTACGAATAACTATATAATATATTTATCATGTATAGCATATCTTTCATCATGCGTAAAAGATATAAAGTATTTAAAGGATAGTATATAATGTTTATATCGACAATTCGAACGAAAAACTACAAATAAATTAATTATTTTCTTCGTATATTTATTTGGATCAAATATTTGTAAGTATAAACAAATATAAACATATATATTTCATTACTTCTACGATTACTAGTCTATAAACTACAAATTAATTTTCTATGTAAACTATGTAGATCTAAATCTAATATACGATTTTGTTAGAATACATTCTATACTAGTTGTTTTCTACAAAAAGTCAAAGTTTGATGATATGTTGGACATAATAGATAGAAAACACATGGAATACGTGACATCTATCAAAATCAGTATCACTTTAACTGACAACATATGAAGTGATCATAAAAATTCATGCTATGGACTTTTAATAACATAAACTTAAACTATAGAATTAATGAAAACTTGTCGAAATTTTACATAAAAGTATATATCTATTTTAATAATGTCAATCTTTTATTTTATTTTATTCTAGAACGATGATGCAAAAATCTATTATGATATTATTTCTATTAATTTTAATAAATACAATAGTAACAAAAGTGAATTCACATTCAATACCATTTAATGATCATAATGAACAACATCAATTAGATAAACGAAATATTTTTTCACATTTAGTTAAAAGACAAATAAATGGTTCATGTGCAGGAGTTCTTACACGATGCTATGGTTTCATCCAAATTTGTTATTATGCTGATGTAAATGGAAAACAATGTGCATCTAATACATGGAGATGTGGATGGTGCATTGGTTTCTGGTGGTAACAATTCTATTGAACAACATTTAATAATGATTTTAAACTTATGTATCACATATATTTATAAATAAACTTACTACTTTCAATTTGATACAATTTTTAAACTAATTAACGGAGGTATCCCTTCCCCTCTTCCTCCCCCCACCCTCCCCAAACATACCCAGAAGGGTGTGGGTGTGGATGTAATTGCTTTCTGTCTTCTTGCCAACACCCACATCCCAAACCCTTACTTGAGACAATATCAAAAAGTATTATAATACCTTCATTTATCAAGAAAATGCTATCAATTACTTTATTTTTTAGCTAATGTAATATTGATCGTATATATAAAAATGTAATTTTTCCTCTTTTGTTTTGTTCTTTTTACATAGGATACTCAAATGTAAAATAGTACATCGTCAAATTTTATAAACCTTCTTACACGATCAACCGAATAGATATTCTCACATAAAAAACAACTGTTCTTTTTAATTAATGATTTTTGAAACTCCATATTGCTGCAATTTTCTTTGATTAATAAAGTACTTATATCATCGAGCAGATATTGAGTTTTTGTTTTCACGATGTCTCGTTTATTTTATACACCCAAAAAACAAAAACATTACATATGTGTGAAAAATTTTAGGATTAAAATTTTCCAAAGCATACCGATATTGATCAATCAACTAAAACATCTATCGACGATATAAGTTGAATATTCTAAATTTCAGTCGATTATCAATTATAAAAACATAAATTGGCGTTGTCAATAAACTTTTTAGAAAAAAGTTTCATTCTTTTCAAACAGTTTCTCAAGAAGATTCAGTAAATATGAGATGATATCATGTCTTTTTGGTTGCAAATAGATACTAGTGTTTAGTAATATCTGAGACAAAATATTTTTCAAAATACATCATTGTTTTCACAAGAGAAATCATGAAAATGTAGTGTTGCATTTCATAAAAAAATTTCGATACAAGTTCAGCATATTGCTGAAAGATCAACAGAATTAATATGACGTGGTAACGAATACACCATTTTCATGTATATTTTTTTTTTCGTGTAAATATTCTGTGAAGATGATGTGTTTTGAAATAATTTTATCTTCTCTATGTACATACATTAACTTCACATTTCTTCTGATGTGGACACTCATGTTA